TTCATCCCCCTAAAAATGGTATGTATAGGTATTAATCCATAGCCTTATCAAACAAGAATATATTTCTCCAAAACAAATCTAAATTTCACTAATTAGTATTTATTATTAGTCATTATATGCTAATATATATAGAATTCAGGAATTCCAAATATCCCAATATAAGCACAATACCTTCAATACTCCTCAAAATTCATCAAATATTTAATAGCATCCGGACAACTTAACAACATAACTTTCAAATGGGCGCTACAAATCAAATATAGCCATAAATGACCAATGGATTACGCTCAAGACGCCGCTATGGCAGCCATTCTCGAATTCGCTTCGCCGTATCATCCAAGCCGAGAACCGTCATAACAGCTCTGAATGTTTCCAGCTCTGCCATCACAACCTTGTTCTGGCCCCGCGACCTCTTCGATTTCACCCTCTCATACTGAAATCCTTCAGCAAACGGCTCGCAAGGCCTCACGCGATTCATGATGGGCCCGAATATTTTCAACCCTAATCATTGTCAGCTGCTACATCGTCTCTACTCAATCTATCCATCTTGCCATATCTGTCTGCCTACCGATCCTTCAATCCATTCCCATTACGTTGGTTGTCTGCTCACACAATTTTTCAAAGTTTAACTATCACTGCAAAACCATCTACCTAATAAACGCCCATGAATTTCCATCCATACTTTCAGGTGCCAGTATCTAATCACAACTAAGGCACCCTCCATTCAACTTCCATTCGCCCGACCAGCCCGTCAATGCAGCTGCAATGGGCAATGGGGCTTCCAGCTCCCACCAGCTTTAGCTGCAAATGCTCTGGATCCGTTGGGTCCTCCACTACACTGACTTGCGCATGGGCATATCCTGGTGGCGCAATCAGGGACAAATCCTTGGCGCATTCTTCGACAGTCTCTCGCACAAGATCTCCTGCTGACCCAATCCAACTCTGAATAGCTTGACGAACCGCGGCATCTTTCGAACTGGTTGCCACTCCGGCCTGCTACTTTGCAACCAATGTGACATTTAATCCAATATTACGCTTTTACCAGCGGAAGAAACACTCCATCAGGTAAAGGCCAGCTGCCACATTGTCAACTCCTCCACCAATGAAAAGGGTCACTGGATATGGTGCTGCCTTCAGTGCCTTCAACACCATCTGCCCCTCCACACCGAGCTCCTCCACTGATCGTGAATATAGGTCTGGCGCACCTTCTTGGGTAAACTTCGCAAACATCTCAGCTGCTTGAAACAATGGATTCGGTCACCGCAAAGTGGTTGCCACAGTCACCGTATAGAGCGAGTCCTCCTCAAATGGTCGATAAAACAAGGATCTCTTCCCTGCGTAGAAGTCAACACGAAAGTTCACCACAGGACCAACCGAAGCAGCCCACGCCTTTCTCTTCTTCAGAGAGAAACTCTGTGGTTGCTGCTCCTCATCCGCCATGTCCGGAAGACACTTCCCGCTACAATGGGGCTCCTGAGATCCTGAATAATCGCTAAGCGGTCACATCATTCATCCATCCCTGCTGAGATGAAGACTGGAACGTTCATGAGATTGCTTGAGGAAATCATGGAAAGATCGCATGTGTGTAATCTGTCGCACAAAACAGTTGCCATTCATGTGCCATGCAGCTCATTTTCAATCCACAGCATCTCAAATGGCTGGGAAAACCTCCTGCCGGTCGATGCATTCTAGCTTTTGGAACGCTTCAGAAGTCCCTTTCCCCGGACTCAAATCCCACCCTCGAAACAGATCTATTAGATCTATTCATTTTGGACCCCATTCTTGACGCTAATTGATATCAGGTTCATGTAGTTATTGATGCTTCATACCCCCAGTGTTGATGGTTAGTATCACAGGCTTAAATGATATCAGGGGATGAAATTATATTATAATGGCCTCTTCCCAAACCTCTGGTACTCTGGGTGCGGCGTGCCAAGAAATGTTGCACTCAGCCGGAGTTGCCATGCCCAAAGGCCATGCTGCCCTGGGTGCGAGTGACTGTCCAAACCTTCAAGAACAGCATGTTTTCTGCAAAAGTCATGGTTTTTCCGACACTCTTTGTTTAGGTCCCCCAAACTATCACACTAACGTGTTTGGTGTTCTTTGTCAAAATGATCGCCCCCCCAAAAAAATTGCTGCTTGGATACTGGAAATAGCTCCCCTCTTGTGGGCCCCCAGCACCTTGACCACTCACCTAGATGTCCTATGTCTGAAACTGTGGGAGTGTGGGACCCCAAGGTCAATTGTGTTTACACCCATCCCACCCGAAAACCCTTGGGCCACCGCACAGTGCCACGCCACTCGGTGTCACCACGGAACCAATGTGGCGCACCAACACGATGAAAACAAGTGCCGCTGAAAACAAATATACATATATATGTAAACAAGTGTATAATACTGATTTACTAGCTACAAATCATATAATCATGATATACATCGATGACTATATATCCACCCTGCGCTTCAATATTGCAATTTATCTCCCATGCGGAGAACATGTTTGTTCCGAGGTCGGCGGCAGCCCTAAAATCCGGGCGCCGGCCAACGGGCCAGCCCGTGTCCTTGCCGGAGGCCTTCGGTGGTAACCGAAGGTTATAGGCGCTGCGCACCCTGCCGCCGACCCACCCCGTGTTCGCCCCGGAGGGACTCCGTGTCAACCGAAGTCCCTGTAATTTACGGTGTTTTGTGTGCGCGATGCGCGATGTTCAAAACATCGGTTTTTTAGTATGTTTCGGGCCCTTCGGCGGCAAGGGATTCCATCTTGGCGATGTTACAAAACCTCGGTTTTTACGTGTGAGGGGGCCCGGGGCGGAAAAATTTGCATCTTAAGATCGTAGATGGCTCAACATGGGGCCAACATAGGCCAGCATAGGGCCAACATGGTGCCAAGATTGCTTGGCCGGCGCCCGGCTGTCAGGCGGAAGCCTTTTAAATAATTTATCTTTATTTAAAAGGATATAATATAATAGGTAAACTATGATCAAATAAGAAATTATATATATATAATTATATGATTTTTATGATCTGATCTTTGGAGATGTTCTTGGTGCCAATGGTTTCTTGGCAGCTGCCTTTTTGGCAGCCGCCTCACTCTTTGCAGCTGCCTTTTTGGAAGCTGCCTTTTTTGCAGCCACTTTGGGAACTGCACTTGATGGTGATGACAGGACTGGCATCCTCTCAAACTGCTTTACCGCTTCCTTCACTCTTTCCCCTGGAATGGGCCTGAAGCATGGGCTAGGCTAGCAAGACATCGACTATTTTTGGAGCTTCACGACGTATGTATGCTTTGCTCACCAGGTTTCTCTCCAAAACACAAGCGCAACTCATATATACTCAAAATGCGTGAGAAGGCAGCACTATTTCAATTCGGATGAGTGCTGCCGCCTGGCATCTTTTGTTGCCAGAGAAGGAGACCTGAACCATCTGAAAGGAAGAATGCGTGACTACAAGCAGCCGCGCATCACGAACCATTGTTCTAGAATGTGAAAACTGACACCTTCCGATACCAGCATCAAAACCTCAGAACCAGATCTGCAAACGGATCTCTGCTCAGCCTCATAGTCTCCAAAGCGGTGGATGATGAGGTGGTTTCGGCACCTTGATGCGCAAGATGTTGACAAGTGAGAACGTGTGAGGACAATGTTGCAATATGTTGCAACTCTTCAACTCGCAGCTGTCACAGCTTCAATTTAGTTGAACTATGTCTTCAGCTGTATTGAACTGGTAGCTCTCGTGCATGTCCGGTGAAATCCAAAGCTGAGCTTCAACCTGCTTCTTGAATGCCCTGACAGCGTTGAAACTTGCAGATTAAACTGATTCATGTAAACGTCACCGAAGAATGGGATCGTGATGACTCCGGCTGTGACATAATAAGATATAATGAGAATTGAGCAGCTTGCAAAGTCCAACAGCATATTCACATATATTCACACAGATTTTTGGCGAGCTGCATCCCAAAGATCTCACAGCTAGCTACAAATTTTCCCATGAAAACGTATCAAAGTGTTGGGGCCTCGAGGCCTTCCATCTTTGGCCACTCCATCTTCGGCTCCTGGAAGCTTCAAGGCTTGGTTCCGTCCATCGTGATTTGCACGTGAGGCTTAGCAGCAAAATGACGCAAAGCGGGCTCACAAGGAACACTCGCTGCTTGCATCTTCGTGCAGTATCCAAACATTGACAAGTTTTGAAGTTCTATATAGGTCATTCTTGGTCATTGAGAAGTATAAAGAAGAATTATTGACCCCGGATCCCCTTCGTGATGACGATTATTAACAAGTACTGGTATACCAGAATAAATATCAGTGATTTGCAATGTATTGCAAAGATTTTGCAAGGGTTTGGAGTGCAATTCAACGCCTCGTCAGCCGCCTCGTCTGCTTGCTCTGGTGGTTCAAGGCTGTCGCTGAAGCAACGACCGGTGGGTACAGGTGATGAGGCCTGACAAAGACTTTCCAATGAAAATAGCGCTAAAACATGCTAAAACCATGATCTTTTTTGAATTTCGACACCCATAGATCAAGTTACATTTGAGCATGAGCAACCGAGTGCGATATGTGCCTCCTTGCCATCCAAACTTTTAGCACACCGCGGAAATTATACAAGAGACAACATCCGGATCTATTCTGCTAATATCGGCTACAAGGAGGCTGTCAAGTTCAGCGTCTCTACCCTTTGGTGAAATCCAAGGACAATACGAACACTGTTGCGCACATTTGAGCACATCATGGATCTGATTTGCGTCGAGCAAAAAACATACAAGGAGCAGCCCAAGGTATATGGCTCTGATAGTGCGTGTTTGTACTGCAGCCCATGCTGGATGCAACTGGACTTGTACAATTCAAAAAAATGACCACTCACTGAGATGCATGCTGTCTGTGGCAATTTGCCTGCGCACACAGAGACTGCAAAAACTAACAGAGCAGAAGGTCCAAAGAACATGCAATGCCAGTGTGGCATAACATGGCATCACTGTTTCTCTAGAAAAGTAGCCTCAAACAGTCCTGTGAAGATTCTCGATGCCTGTTATAAATCTGTGCTTTGCTTGACAATGTTACATTCTTATCTCCACTGCTACCCCGGCAACCTTCTCCGACTACCGGCGTTGTTTCAGGCGGAAGTGGACTGATGACTTGAGCTGGCTCAACCTCACACATTGGTCTGCCATTCGCTTGCGACACAAAGCATATCAAAGCATTCTCATGCTCTGTAAATTACGCGTAAATTTCTGTGCTTGGAGGTACCTGGACGAGAGATAAGGCTGTGCTCTTATCATCTGGCTAGCATTGGCTAACTTGACAATGCCGATGGTTCTACCTTTTAGGGTTTCGGGGTGGTGGGGGTGGGGTGGGGGGTTAGGGGTCTAGGTGTGGGGGCTGGAGTGGTGGGGCATACAAGATAATTAGCATCACAAGCGAACGCCTCACCTGAAACAGTTCTTGTTTGTAATCAACTTGCTGCTGCCTTGATGAATTCTGAAAGTGAATTTTGCAGAACGGACCAAAAACCAATGCGTCACGATACCTAGGTAGTCTAAGCCAGAAGCCATGCCCTCCTCAACCGCTTTTTCAGCTTTGGGAGTCTCGTGTGATGGCACCTTGCAACAAATAGCAAGAATTTCAATATGACAATTACTCCAGGCTTGATCGATTGACGACGTGAGAATTCAGTTATTTTGCCATGGCCCATTGTGAAACATGCGGGCACAGTTGTTGACACGACAAACTGTCACAGCACAGAATGGAAGACCATGAAAGACCAACACCGGCGGTGAACTACGCTGCCAAACTGGGGTGAAGTGCTGCGACAAACTGTCCAAAAGATAAATTGTGATACTTGTATATTACTATTTAACATATTATAATAATATGATCTAAAAACGTCTAAAAACAACTTTCTTCTCTGGCTCAATTGTCACCTTCCTTAACGCTTGTGACCTGCTCCGAGCCTCCCAGGCTGTGTCAGCTGGAACTTCATCTGAATGTTCGTCGGTCTGGAGCGTGTTTTCGCTCCTACCTCTAGAAGACTCATCAATAATCTGCACCAATCCGGCACCTGTCAACTTTCAACAGCAGCCACTGTGAGAATTCAGGTCAGCACCATTCACCTCTGGTGAATCCATTTCGGGGAGAGGAATACTCTCCAGGATCTCCTCCTCGGTCAGTGCGTTTGAGAAGTCCCAGTATTTGACCAAGGCCGGTAATTGATCCAATAGGTATTCCAGAAACGGGCAGTTGGCAAAAATTGGAGTTCTGTAAGCAGCTTTCTATGTGGGTTCCTTGATGTAATCATAGAAAACAAAGCCCTATTCTACACTGCTACACCCCATCAATTGCGACACAAATGCTTGATGCCAAAGTGCTGAAATATCTGAATCTGAACTGGTTGAAATCGCCCACACCGATCGTTGATGGAAGGGCGATCATGTGGTGAGAACAAACTGATCATCACCATGACCAGGTGAATCAGCTTCTCTGATGCCTTTTGCATCTAGTTTCACTAGCTGCATATAAAGATCATGAATTTTATGTTTTTTGCTGGTTGAAGGACTTTCCGAGCCTACTAACTTGTTTGATTTGCTGGACAGTTGCAATGGCTAATTAAACAGTCCGCTGATCCTTTAAAGGCCATTCTGTACCGGAACTGCTGAGAATATAAAGTCTGCGGGAGCGTGTTCCAGTGGGTCACGGCGGGTTGTTTGGCAATTTTAGCTGGGCGATCTTTTACCATTTCATACCTCGCAGGCCCGCAGGCGACAAGGAGTCCTTCTGCAAATTGGAAAGTCTGAAGGAAAGTGGTGATGTATGCGTTTGAAGTCCTTTGATTTATGAGCCGTACTGTGTTGAAAGATCTGTAAGTGACGCTTTCGAAATGTGTTTCTTATTCTTTGCGAGCTTTTCTCGTCCGGTCTGCTTGCTTTGAGCTTCCACCGAGGTCCATTTGTAGCTCTAAAAGCGTTCAGATACGTCATTTTTATTTCAGACACTTGCTGCAGCATCATCAACGCAGAATTTGCGACTGGCGAAGACATGGCCACTGAAAAGGTGTAAATGTGGAGGGGCATCTCTTTTGGGGTCTTGATTCAAGCTAAGTTAAGACACAGCCCACTGCACCTCAGTGTTGCAATTAACTTGGCTGGCTTAGTCCATTGATGGCAATCAAGGTCTACTCTACCAAACTTCTTGATATTATATACATCGTATGACCATGTATGACAACCATTCTGAAGCCAGAAACAGAATGTGAGGGCCTGTGATTTTGTCAGTGTGTGCTTCCCAACATTCGAACACAGCGCTTTTTGAACCCATTCTTGAATCACAAATCCCACTCCTTTGGGATCTCCACTGCATTGACAGGCTCTGCAGACTCTTCAGCCTGAACTTCCAAGTGAAACGTATCACACAACATGCGAACATGCTCCGGCATGTCCGCCGGCATGAAGCTTCTCTTTGTCGCAATCCCCATGCTGGCCTGTTGGCTGCGCTGCTCAACCGAATCCACCTCAAGATCCTCAAGACGCTGATATTTGAAGCGAATTGCGTTGACATGGAACATATTGGAACATCATGGAATACAACAAGATGCAACAAACTTCTCAACACGAAATAGCAAGGGGCGCACCAGCCCAGTGAGGACACCCACAAGAACAACACCAGTACAGGTTTGCAGATACTTTTAGGATACACATGCAAGAGCGAAGATCATGTGCACAACACTTCAAAGGAAGGCCAGCCCAATGATCGCACCTTTTTCAACCAGTATCAATGGGAACAAAGTCTTGCTGGAAAAGTATCCGCAAACACATAACTCACTCCTCTTCCCGGTACATGTTCATGCCCACAAGAGTCAATACCTTTTCCATCCTTTTCATCCTTTTCCATCCTTTTCGGGTTTTTGAAGTTCGATATGGCCTCGCGACGGTCTGTGTGTTGCTCCAAGACTTTGATGATGCGAAGCAAAACCTTCCAAGTGCATTGCAAACGCATTCGAACATTTCGAACTGATTCTGAAGATTTCAGCATGAAAAGAACATGTTCATGGCTTCGCGGCAGATTCAATCCTGAGTTGCCTTTCCTGCAACTCGCCAGATCTCGCCAGGTAGATATCAACTAAACAGGCTGAGAAAGACTCTGTGACTTGCAAGAAGTTTGATTCATTTGAACATGGCCCTACGCAGCCGTACCCAGAATAGTCGACAGTCAAAGATGTCAAAGCAACGGACTGGAAGACTACACGAGTGAGCAACACTGGCCAGTGCAAACAGAACTCTTCCTGGCCTTGTAGCCATAGCGCATGCCTTCCATGGAGCAGCTGTCCTGCTTTGGGACATCAAAGATCATCAAAGAACCAGTTGGAGAGATGCACATCGCCATACATTGGCTGAAAGTGTCAAAAGTGACTACAAAGAGAAGCAA